ATGGTATTTTTAATACCAAAGTGTTTGTTATAAATATTGTGTACTATTTTAGTGATAATTATTTTTTTAATAGAGTTTGCCATGTTGCAAGTTATCTGGGAACAATGGCATTCAGAAGAATGAGTCCAAAACGTCAGCAGACATTTCGAGATGCACAGACGGAAGACGATGTTAGTAAACTGATGGCTAATTACGTTCAGTTAGTTTTTGTTTTGTTTTCAATATGCCAATAAAAAAAACCAACACGCTTGCAAGTAAATTGATATTTTATAACTTTAAAAACAAAAAAGACACATTTTCATTTGTCAGGAGTGTAGAAAAAGAGACGTTGAGTGAAGAAGGTTGGAAACAATTTGCATATTATGATATTTCAAAGACTGGTGTCATCACTTTAACAAGAATCCAGGCTGCGGCATTAAAGTCAGACTCTTCCAAGCAAGATGTCCTGATCAACTGTGTAAGTAATTTCAGAGAGAAAAAGCCTGTTATTAAAATCTGAGAGCATTATTATTATCACTATTATTATTCAAAGCTGGTCCATCTTCTCTTTATTTGTGGTCATATGTTTCATTTAAATTCTTTAAAACGATTATATTTTCTTTATTTTAGTGCTGCCCGGGATATGTTAGTACAGACATGACAAATCACAAAGGAATCAAAACACCAGATGAGGGCACCGTAACACCTGTCTATTGAGTGATGTTACCGGGGAATTTAACTGAGCCCCAGGGGAGCTTTTTGTCCGATAAAACTGTTGTTGAGACTTGGTAGAGGTTTAGATACAGTATCTTCTACACATTATTATTCAAGAAACCGATTGTATTACCAGGACTATTTGTTCCACCGAAAGCAATAGAGACTGTAGAGGGTGTTGGCCCTAACGGCCGCCCATACAAATCCGGTTATGGGTAGTTAAACTAGCAACTAACTCGTACTAACAGAAAGAGAAGGAATTTTTGAAAACTTTATTGACTGAAAATGAACTCATCTGATAAAGAAGAAATTAAAGTTGATTCAAATGCAAACAACAGTGACTACTGTATCGAGTATGCATATGGTATTCTGCTACAGCATCATATTGATAATTAAAATTTAACAAGTTTAAAATACGTTGAAAAACACGTTCACCCGTTTTTGATCCTTCAAAATTGTTCACGACCAACTGTTTTTTGTTTTTGTTTTGTTTTTTTGTTTGTTTTTTTGGTAGGCTGAGTAAGTCTAGCCAATTTCAACAGCTTAGATTCAATAAAAAAAATACAGGCTTGAGTCTATTTAATGTACACAAACCATCCACCGGGCTGTACTATCATGAGGCTAAGTCTCTCTTCTCTTCGGGGTCCATCAGTCCACTGTTGAACATACCCTCCTATAAGTTTTCCACCTCTTTCTATCTGATGTTTCTCTATACCAATATTTATTGTACATTCTCATGTAGTCTGTCCACCTCTGTTTCTGTCTTCCTCGATCGTTTTCTTTTACCTTCTCTGGGTATCCAATCGGTTACTATCTTTGTCCATCTATTGTCATTATCTCTAACCACATGCCCTGCCCATCTCCACTTATTTTTTTTTACACTTCTTTCTATGTCATTTTTTGTTCTGATTCTCCATCTGCCATGCCATCCACCCTGATTTTATCCTTCCATGTATATTTATGTTACCATCCTCCATACTTGTGATTTAAACCAGATACTTAGTGTCGGACTTCCTCAATTTCCCGATCTTTTAATTTTAAGTATATTTGTATTGAAATTCATTATAAACTTTGTCTTTCCCTTATGTAGTGTAAAGCCAACTTTCTTACTCTCTGCAGTTACTTTTTTTTAGTTATTTCTGCATTCATTGTACGGAACTTGTTATCAGTGCAAATTATCAGTGAACCTCAGTTGGGCAAGTACTTCTCCATCAACGTTAATGCCCTCATTGAGATCAGCTGCTTTCATGTAATGTTGAAGTGCAGTTATAAAGCTCTTTGAGCTGATGGGGTCACTCGTTTGACACCCTTTCAGATATTGATAATATTTTATTCCTGTCTGCCAATAATAATAATTTATTGACATACACCATTTCTATCGGTGGCACCCAGCAGGTGGTGCGTCAAACATCTTAACTAAAACAAAGTAATCTAAACAAAACTAATGAAAATATAAAGGGTAAAAACAAATTAAGCAAAAAAAAAAATCGATAAGTAAACGTATGCACAAATTATACACTGGATATACATGCATAAATATACTGTACACATACATATACATATATACAATATATATATACTTTGCCTTACACATTCAGTACGATGCTCTTATACACATCTATGCTTAGCTGTACGGAAT